TACCGGAGAACTACAGCATAATTTAATTACCTTAAAGGTGGGTGATGGCTGATTTTAAGTTTAAATTCTTTAGTGAAAGTTTTGATGGTTACTATCAATATTGAGATTTAATGTTCATAGAATCTGTAAATAAATATGATTAAAATAAAAAAAATTTGCCTGATCAATAGATACTAGTAGATAGCCCGTCAAAAATGACGGAGAATGAGAATTTTATTCGTTTTTTTAAGAAAGATATTACCTTTTATTTAAAAATCATATCCAATTTATATAATTTTTAAACCCCCCCCCCCTCCCCATTTATGTCAAGTCCAAGCAATGTCATTGAGTCCAACACATTAGGACTAAGAGTGGAAACTATTATTTGAGTCAAAATATATTTAAATGAGCTTGTACCCAATACCAAAATTCTTTGTAAATATATTACTGGTTACATAAGACTAACATTTAACATTAAAAAATTTCAAGCCAGGTCCAAGCTCATAATATTTGGAAAAAATTTCCACGCGTTCAAGACCTTATAATTTATAAAAAAATTTCTCAAGCCTAGCTCAACCCATAATAATTTTGAAAATTTTTTCCTAGCCCGGCCCATAATAATTTATATATATAAGATATTCCCAAGTCAGGTGCAAGCAAATATTAATCTTGAGGAATATTTTTCAAGCCCAGTCCATCCCATATTAAGTTTCAAAACTATTTCCCAAACCCGGAGATAGTTAAATTTCTAAATAATTTATCAAAACATGAAGGGGAAATCTCGGATTTACCAATTAGTGGGTTAACTCCTTTTATCAAAAAATTTGATAAGGGCTATCTATATCTTTTGTTAAGTACAAAAAAATGCTATTTATTTAAATTACAAAAATGCCATTCAATACTAATGAAACTTATATGCAATTTATTTATATATTTTTTAAGAAATTTGTTTTTCTTGCCATATAAATTTAGGTAATTTTTTTTAAAAATGATGAGGAATAATTATTACTCTGTGTGTCTGGTAAAATTAAGAGCAAATCCTTTCAGTCGTCTGCAGAAGGAAAAATTAATGTATAATATCATCCCATTTAGGGTTGTAGGTGAAAGTAATGAATAATGACGGATTACCAAAGCAGTGTACAACACCCATTGCGTCCTGATAAAGCTGAGGCCCTGAGCTACTGGTAAAAGAAGAACGCAAAATGATATTTCTGCCAAAGTGTCAGTTTTGGTATCCCCCTCTAAAATAGAATCATGAACGACATTGTCAACTCAACCATAAAACGGTCGTAAGTATTGTTATAAAGGCCATGACAAAACTACCGCATATTTTCCCATTAATAATGTTAATGAAATTGGCCGCACTACATATTCACGTTTGAACATCTCTCTAAATATTCATGAAAGTTCCTCAGGGAATCGATAAAGTATTATTTATAATAACTCCTAATGAGGTAAATGATAGTGGAATTAAATGCTTTTATTTGTTAAAAATTAGGCAGAGGTGGCATAGGGATTGTGGTAGTGGTGATAGATATATAATTTGGAGGCAACTGGGTGTATAAAATAAACATATAGATATAAAACATTAGATAAAAACAAAATAAACCTCCAGAGGAGTTCACAGTGCCTTATTATCTTGGCCACCAGTAACTCTAGAACGGGTAAGGCGGTTGTTGAATCGTTATTTTTTTCTTTGCTTATCTTTAATAAAAGATTCATCATGTTTGGTAGCAATGTGAGGGATTAGGGTTAGCCTAGACAAATAAAGAAATCAGGCAAAAATATAAATATACAATTGTTGAAATTAAACAAACATTAAAATAATGTAAAACCGGTAGAAGGGTCAATATTAGATGCATATTTCTAATAAGTTGGAGGGCTATCAACAAATAAAATTTTTGGGGGACTAATCAAGTCTATTATGATATTCTAAAAGTTAAAAAATAACATGATAAATGTAATAATCCAAGCATCCAAGATCTTAATATTTAAAAAGATTTTCTCAAGCCCACCTTCCCTAATAATTTAGAAATCAAGCCCAGAGATATTAAATTTATAACATAAGACTAACATTTAACATTAAAAAAATCCTAATATAGGCTCTACCCTACAATATCTGGAAAAAATATCCAAGCATTCAAGACGAACATTTAATAATAAAAATCCCAATATAGGTTAAACTGGATAAAATATCCAAGCATCCAAGATCTTAATATTTAAAAAGATTTTCTCAGCCCACCTTCCCTAATAATTTTGAAATCAAGCTCAGAGATATTAAATTTATAATTAATGAAGAGGAAATATCTGATTTACCAATTAGTCAACAGGTAAAATATATTAATTTATAAAAAGAATAACATAAGACTAACATTTAACATGGAAAAAATATCCAAGCATCCAAGACTAACATTTAACATTAAAAAATCCCAATATAGGTTCAAGAAAAAAGCATCCAAGATCTTAATATTTAAAAAGAATTTCTCTAACCCACCTTCCTTAATAATTTTGAAACCAAGCCCAGAGATATTAAATAAGACTAACATTTAACATTAAAAAATCCCAATATAGGTTCAAGCCTACAATATCTGGAAAAAATATCCAAGCATCCAAGACTAACCTTTAACATTAAAAATTCCCAATATAGGTTCAAGCCTACAATATCTGGATAAAATATCCAAGCATCCAAGATCTTAATATTTAAAAAGATTTTCTCAAGCCCACCTTCCCTAATAATTTTGAAATCAAGTCCAGAGATATTAAATTTATAACATAAGACTAACATTTAACATTAAAAAATTCTAATATAGGTACTACCCTACAATATCTGGAAAAAATATCCAAGCATCCAAGACTAACATTTAACATTAAAAAATCCCGATATAGGTTCAAGAAAAAAGCATCCAAGATCTTAATATTTAAAAAGAATTTCTCTAACCCATCTTCCCTAATAATTTTGAAACCAAGCCCAAAATTTATAATTAATGAAGAGGAAATCTCTAATTTACCAATTATTCTACAGGTAAAATATATTACTTTATAAAAATAATAACATAAGACTAACATTTAACATTAAAAAATCCCAATATAATTTTGAGAAAAATTATACTTGATAAATAAGAGAATGTTCTATTTTGTAGGTCCTCGCTATCTCTAGTGCGTTTCTTTTTTTGATTGATCTGCAATCTTTTTCTTTTATTAATGACAGAATCACCACCTGTACAATCATTAATTGAGATAAAAGACATGGCTTGTTATCTAAAATAGAAACAAAAGAATAAATAAAAAAAAATAAATGCATTGAACTTGATGAGGAGTCAATATACCACCTGTACAATCATTAAATATGGGTAAGACAGGGCTTGTTATCTAAAATAAAAACAAAGAATAATATAAAGAATATAAATGCAATGAATCTGAAGAGGAGTCAATATTAAATTCAACTCCCTAGAAATAGTTGGGACATTATCAGAAGCTAAAATAGATGTATTCTATAATATAAAAGAGTATAAAAAAAAAATATATATAAGGCTAACTTTATTTTGAGTTGTTAGATTTTGTATGGCCTCGCTATCCCTAGTGCGTTTCTTTTTTTGATTGATCTGCCATCTTTTTCTTTTATTAATGATGGATAAATCACCACCTGTACAATCTAACTGAGGTTAGGACATGGCTTGTTACCTAAAATAAAAACAAAAGAATAAATAAAAAAAATAAATGCATTGAACCTGATGAGGAGTCAATATACCACCTGTACAATCATTAAGTGAGGTTGGGACATGGCTTGTTATCTAAAATAAAAACAAAAGAATAAATAAAAAATATATTAATGTATTTAACCTGAAGAGGAGTCAATATTAGGTTACCTCTCTAGAAATAGTGGGGATATCATCCATCATAAGCTAAGTATTCTAAAATGAAAAGTATAAGCCTTTTTAGTATATATAGATGAATAATTTATTTTGCATTTGGTAGATTTTATTGGGCTTCATGTCTAAAAATATTTTCTATAAAAAAAATAAAATAAAATCAATAAAAAAATAAAAATAAAAATAAGTACGTACCGATGACATGACGTAGCGATGACATGACGTAGCGATGACATGACGTAGCGATGACATGACGTAGCGATGACGTAAGAGGACATCGGAAAATTATAATATAGATAGTATTATTTTATTAATGATTCAACCCATACAATATAGTATTATCACTTAATATTTTTGCACAGGATGGCAAAGATCAATTTTTTCTTTGAAATTTTTAAATTAGCAAAAAAATTTACTCAGCATGCACACTTCAAAGATCATATGAAATGAATCTCACTTTTATACATTTTATCATATGAAGCTTTTGATATTTTAAATGCATGAATGTAGTCAAATACAATTACGGGGGTTTGTTAAAATGTTATATTTATTGATGTCATCAAATGGATTTAAAATAATTTTTAAATTATTTGCACATTTAGAATCTTGATTTCCATTTTCATCATAATTGATAAATTTTATTCTAACAAATTTTTATAAATCCCTTTTTTCCCTTTAGTATTTTTAGGTTTTACCTTTTTTTCATTTTTAGCTCTAACTTTTTTGGTTGCCAATATAGTAATTGAGAATAAATTTCTAAATAAACTAATTTTTATTCAATAATATAAATTAAATTTATGTTTTGACAAAAGTAAAAATATATACTAGAATAGAATATTATATACTCTATACTAGTGTTGTTAAACTATCTAATTATGGTTAACTATAAAACAGCTAGCCATGTTTTTATCCAAACATATCCGAATCAATCTTCAAGTTGAGACTCAACTTAGAGGTTTAATTCAATTTTTAAGGCTAAAAGTTTGACTGAGCCACAATAGAGATGGCCAAAATTAAGTAATTTAACAACACTACTCTATACACCTAAGCATTCTCAGTTTACCTGTCAATTCCTTACCTGACAATTCTCAGTATAGGTTCTGTCATATGGTTATATGAATTGTCAATTTGACAGATATTTATGGCAAGCATATATTATTCTTGGGTTCTACATTCATTATGAATAGAGATGAGATGAAAGAAAAAGGGAATGCATTTTTCAATAGTAATAATTATGAAGATGCAGCAAGTTGCTATCTTAAAGCTATTAAGCTTTGTTCTGATCGTGAAAATGAAATATTAGCATTGTTATACAATAATTATGCTCTATGTGCTTTAAAGACAAAGAATTTTTCAGATGCTATAAATTATACGACAAATGGTAATATACGTTAGTTTGATGATGAATCTTTGTTTTGATTAGCTTTAGCCATCAATGCCCATGATATTAAAGCACTATATAGAAGATGTGTTGCATATGAAGAAATGGATAATATAACTGAGTCCTTCAAAGATGCAAAAACTTTATTTGAAATGAATCAAAAATTTATATTGCCTACATATTTCAGGCTAAAAGATGTTTTATCAAAAAAGGTTTATTATATGTTACTAAATATTTTAATTTAGCTAAGGTTGAAAATTGTTCATCATCAGCTGTTATAGTAGATATCATGGATAAAATTAAATCAGAAAACACTTTATTTGAGATTAAACACAAGGTTTTATTATTTTACTTTATTATATTATATTTGAAAAATTTAGGCATTTAATAATCTAGAATCTTTGACCCAAGAAAATTTTGGAGTTAATTTATTTTTTCAAAATGAATGCTTGAATGTAATGCAAAAACACTTATTACAAGAAAAATCTCAATTTATTACACCTATTTTGAATATATATAAAAATATATGTATTGACAAAAACAAAGTATTATTCATATAAAGAATAAATTGCAATTTAAATTTAGACATTGGCATTAATTAAAGTTTTATCATTGCCAACACTAATAAACAATATCATTCAAGTAGGAACTGAAGAAATTACAAAATCTGCATATAAATTACTTATTAAAATATTTGTTGTATTAACTGGTTCTAAAATAGATGATATTAAGAATAACATTGAATATGATGGTATACTATCAATTTGTCTTTTGTTCCTTTACATAATTTATATACTAATGAATATTAAGTATATTATTTTTAAAAATAATTTAACATAATTTTTTAAAAATAATTCTATAATTTCCATATTTTGTGATTTACAATTAATATATAGAATATTCGGATATTATCGATTCCTGCTTTCTTAAAATTGTTGAAACCTTAGTCAGTCCAATAACCTCACCATATGGTCGGGATGTATGTTTGAACACCATTGTTAGATTGGCAGGCAAACAAAAAGGATTGGGTTGGAGCATCAAATTAATTCAAAAATTTAATGGTAAATATAATGGACAAAATTAATATTGTTTTAAGAATAAATTAACAAGGTGGGTTTAATTCATTTTTGATTTAAGGCATATTTTTTTAATTAAAAATTTAATAAAATTATTAACACTGAAATTGAATTAAAAGTGACATTCTAACAATTATATTCATTTATTCAATATAAAAATTCTTAGCCCTAATAAAATGATTTAATTTAATAATAAAATAGGTAGTAAAAATGTGATCATGAACTATATGGCTTGTTGATTAATAAAATGATATTGTATGATTAGACTAAACTATCCACCACTTATAGACATTCTATCTTGTAACTTATTTATTAGATTAAATAATATAACATAGAAAAAGAACAATGCTTTATCAACATAATTGCCATATGAATGCCAATTAATGGGTGGCCATATGTATACTTATCTGATTTATAAAATAATTTAATATAGAATTTATTTTGGACTGGTTATTAACACTGATAAAATTAAGATGACATTATTTCATACCAAATTGAGTATCAAGATGAAAAAAGGAATTGACTATGCTAACTTAGCTAGGAGTAATTCTAGATAGGATGAGAAATACATTAAAAAATACTGAAAAACTAGTCATGTCAAGTCTAAAATGGAAATATGGTCATAGTTCTTAGGATATATTTATACCTCTATAAATTCAAATATTTATAATTATGGTTATCAACTTTCTGTTAAGGGGTTAAAAAACTTGTACGATATCAAAACTAACATAGAAAAACGCAAACGTTCATAAATAATTAAATGTCTTAGATACATTGCAAAGACATACTACCAAAATAATACATCAAACCTTGATCTAGGTAAAAAATATCCTCTCAATTTATAATAGGTTAATTACTGAAAAATTTTTGCTTTGACACAATATAAATCTCACAAAATTTAATATATCAAACGTTAAATATTTGTTTATACAAATGTTGTTAAAAGTTACTTTTAAAAGTAGCACACTATCAGCAATTTAGAATTTTTTTAAAAATATTTTTTACGTATCTCTATTTCCACATATAAAAAATATGACCAAAATTTTAAATATATATAATTTTTTTTATTGCATCTCAATAATAATACATTTTCATACTGTCATTCCCAAGTCTAGAGCGACGATATGAAAGTGTAAGCTATGACCAAACAATCGTTCAACACTATACTTGAGGGCAATGCAGTATTTAATTTAATACACATTTTTTATATAAGAAAAATCTTCAAAAATATTTATTTGAGTATTTTTAGATATAAAAAATTGCGCCTAAAGGATTTTTCAATAGTATTATTATTATTTCAAAACAATTATCTATAGTAGGTGACGTTTTTGATCTCAATCTAAAATTAGAATAGTCAGTTTGAATAAACAGTATGGAGCCAAATGTCACGCCACCATCCTTTAACTTTTTATCTATTGAACCAATTTCTCTCAAAATTGGTTAAAATGTGAAAGGATTGAAATAAGTGTTTTTTTGCATGTTTTAATTAATTTATAATTTATAAATAGATGAGTGGTTAATTAAGTATGTTTAACATCCAGATTATAATTTATAAAATATTATCATTAAATAGATGAGTCTGATAATAAAATGAAATATTAATATTTATTATTTATTGTAGTTCTTAATTTACATTATATTTCCTGAATAATATCTTATGGCCAATGGAAACATACCATGTTTGGACTGGGCCAGATAATCTACTTTCATGTAAACTCATCTAGCTCAAAAACTATTATAGATACAACTTTGTTCAAATTTTATTTAAGGATTGAACCACACGTGATATTAGATTTGTTTATATATTACTTTTATATATTTCCTTGTTGAAGCTAATAGTCGATGTTAAAACCTTTAAGCACATCTTACAATTAAATTTATAACCTGTTTTAAATTTTTTATCATAAAATATTTGCGAATTCAGGAAAAATTAAATATTATCATCATTTTCCAGGGAAAGTACCTTATCGATATGATCTATACCAAAATATCTTCAATATCAATCTCTATGGTTGACATTTTAAATTATTTTGAAAACTAGATTTATAATGCAGATTTTTAAATTTCAAAATTAAATTAAATATAAATATTATAATCTTAAAATTTTTTTTTAAAGAATATTTTAATAATTTTTAAGTGTATTTATTATATAAAATTGAAAGTAGCAAATTTTAAATTAGTAACGACCTAGCAAAAAATAGCACGCTAAAGCTACCTTTATGAAAAAAGGCTGTAGCACGCTACTTTAACATCACTGGACTATGAAATAAAAGAATAAAGCATACATATAATGAAAAAGAAATTGATTTGGAAAAATTATGAAGTTATTAAGTGAAAACAAATGTTTGGTCGAAATTTAATAAGACCTTGAAACAATTATATGGGCATCTGATCAATAGGTTTGGTGCAATGGAAACAAATTTACTGATAAGAAATATAAATAAAATACTAGAAATAATGCACTATTTTAAACTTACTTGTAATTTTTTAAAAAAAAATCTACTTCCTCACTCTTCGAGAAGATTCCAGTAAAAAGAAAACAATTAAAAATATTAAAAAAATTTTTTTTTACAAATAGGATGGATTTCAGAGCTACCCTTGATAATATAAATACCTTTTTATTAACTGGGTAACAAGGTTTTGTCGTCATTGTCAAAAAAACCCCCATCATAATTATGTGAGAAACGGTCTCTGCCTAATTCGCACGAGCTGGTTTTAGACCAACGGGCTAAGTTAAGTTATAAATTTAAAAGTAAACACCTCATGATTTTACAGCCGACTTTTTGACATCTTAGATTGCAGATGTAAAAAAAATTTCTTTCAAACATAAAAAACGAGGAAAAACAGCAAAAAGAAAACAAAAATGAAAAAAAGCTTAAATATCATTTAAAAGTTTTTTTTAAAAAATAACACATGAAAAAAAAAACAAATTAAAATAATTGCGATAATGAATTTTTGTTCCAGATAAAATTAACGGTTAGGTCCGGTTCGTAAAAAATAATAATATCTGTTCGGCTTAACCTTTAAAAAATGGTTCAATTCGCATACAAGCATATTAGAATTATGTCAAGAAAAGTATATTTTTTTAAATTTTACCACTATTCTATAAAGTTGTAAACTTGAACGCGTTCGTAGACGAAGTTCGTTTTTTAAAAAAAATGATGAACGATGATCCTTTTATTTTTGACGATCTTTGAACCTGAATGCGTTTTTTTTGACGAACGCGTTCGTTTAATTTAAAAAATCTTTTTAGAAAATAAAAAATATTAAATTAATATTAATCCAAATTTTTTATGAAAAAAGTTATTTTTTAATCAGCTGTTTCCTTTATCACATTTGATTTTTTTAACCAGTCACTATTTCTGTTCTATAGTATAGATTAACTTGAATATTATTATTTTTAAATTAGCAGCATGGATGTTGTTATTTCATCATCATCTGATTCTGAATTAACATTGCCATGGCTCAAATTTAAAAAATAACAATAAACTAATTCTATCCTGCCAAATTAATGTAAAGTATAATATCAGTTTCAAAATCTTCAAGTTTTAATTTAAAGAGATACTTATTGTAATACTTATTATTTTATATAATATAACATTAGGTATCCTTTTAATAATTTATTTTAGATTTTTGTATTTTATAAACTTATTAAATTATTATGATTATTATAATAGATACATAAAGTAAAAATAATTAATATATTATATACATAGATATAAAATAGTTAATATCTTTTAGAATTTATTAGTGTGAATTTAAAAAAAAATTTTTTATCAAGGGTTTATATTTTAAAGTTGAACACAATTTAAAGTACTATAAATTTAAATATTTTATATATAATAAAATTTTATATGATATATAAAAGTTTTTATATATTAAAATTAATAAGAATTTTTTTTTAATAAAAAAGATATTTTTTTATTCATTTAAAACTATTAATTTTAAACATGGCTAATATATTGTTTTAAAAAAATAAATGGTACTTATTTATATTAAATTAAATATTAAATGAAATTTAAAAAATAAATTTATACATAAAGTTTTGAACGAATTAAACTTAACGTAAACATGTTCGATTTTTGACGATGAACGTTTAAAGCGAACGCGTTCGATTTAGAAATGTTTACAGCACTACTATGCTTTAAAAAATAATATTGTACCGTATACAATCAAAATATTTTCAAGATTCTCTTTTTGTCAAGTTATATCAATAATGAGGCAAAAATTTTTTTTGGCTGAGAACACATATATATGCTGACTTGAATAACTGACCCATCAAATAGATTTTTGACTGAACACACTTCTATATGCTGACTTGGATGGCTGGCACGTCAAACAGCAATAAAGAGAATATCTAAAAATAATTATTGGTGCTTATCAGTAAAAACTGATTAATCATCTTTAAAAGAGTTAAAATATTAAAAAGTTCAAACCAGTTCACAGGCATTTTTAGAGATTCAGGTTCTGGTGATAATTTTTTAACGGTTCACGTTAGGTAAATAATAACGGTTAATACTGGTTTAGCGGTAGGTTTGGTTTAAATCCCTGCTAAAAATAAATTTCTTATAGTGATGCTGTTCCCAAATAAAATTAATTGGATACAAATTTTCCTATTCTAACCATTCAAATTATGCTCTCATCTGATATATTAATAATATTGTTTTCTCGAGGAAAAACGATTAATAAACATAATTAAAATTATTCAATAACAATTTGGCGCACGATCTTCAAGCTGAAAGAGTATTTTTTATTTTTCGGCTTTATACATTTAAATTTAAAGATAGAATCGGAACAGTGAAAACAGGGAAATAAATTTATCATTTCAAAACATTTTAAAATAATAATTTTTAAAATGGAAATCAAGAATATTCGAATAAGTAAAATAAATCAACAAAAATTGGTTACTTACGCGGGTTCTCTATTCATAATAAAATTAGCTTATCTATTAAAAATGAATTTAAACTATATTATGGAGTTCCTTAGCTATATTTATTTAGATTTATTCAGCAAATATGATAAATTATTTACTAAATCAAGAATAGCGAAGTATAATGATTTTAATATTTTTAGATATTATTACTTTTTGTCACATGAATATTAAAATTTTATTATCATGATTTATTTATTTTGGGGGATTTATAATAGGAAACCTTTCCTTAATTTCTCACCCTGAAAAAAAAGTTTTAGATTTAAATAAATAAAAAAAATTTATTCACCCACTCTGGTAATTGATATATCTTTGAGTTTATTGCACAATATTATGCAAAAAACTATATTTATAGATGGATTTTTTTTGTTTAAAGAAACTTTTTCATAATTTTTAGCTATTCCTATCTTACTTTGTTGTGCCTCTGAGTTGAAAAATTCTTCCATTCAAATTGAAAATTCGATCTCAGGTACAAAAAATGCAGATGACCTAATAGAAAGTTGTTACAACAAATTAGCATGCACTCCATCTACTCACTGCTTGATATCTTTGGCTTTAAATACTCTCTGGGAAGATATGAGTAACGATGCTTTGCGCAATGAATACAGGACTATTGCAACAAAATATATTGAGTTTTTTTTATTATATAAAATAAAATATACACATGATACACCTTGTAAAATTAAACAGGTGATCACCCTAACAAAGGTTATGAAAAATTATATATAAATTCGGTTGGGATAAACAAAAACTCTTATCATAAACTTAGATTAAAAAAGTCAGATTCATTTATTGCCGGAATTTTAAATAATTTTCCTCATCAATTATAGTTAGGAATTTAGCTCTACTTAGTAAACATGATATTTTATAAATTAACTCATCAAAATCTTGACAGAGGTTATGGTTCAGGTTTGAATCGAATAAATATTTCGACAACTTTTTTTTCTTTGACATTACATTTGTTACTGACAGACCGTGTTGAAACGACCCAATATACTATCTGAGTAATTAGCTAAGGGATTTAAAATATAGGAATAATGTATTAAAAATTTGAATCCTTTAATTTTTCTCCGAATTTAAACAGGAATGAATGAAATTTAATTTAATAATTATCGACGGCGTGTTTATTTTTTTTTATCAAATATTTTTGGGAGGCAATAAGTTAATAAATCGCTTTAAAAAAATGTTAATTAATGCAAATAATTTTTTTTAATCATAACTATAATTGTCTTTTAATGATTTCAGTTTTATCGCCTAATAATTTGCTCGCTCTTTAAAACATAACCGATTATATATAAAAAATATAAATTTAGAAATCTTTTATCTCATAAAGAAGAATCCTTCAACATCAAAGCCATTAAAGCTATCATCGTTTTATTACAGGTAATTCAATTTTTCTTGTTAATTATATTTACAAGGTATAAAACTTCGGCTAAAAATATAAAACATACCAAAAACGTATAAACCATCAACATAAAATTTATTTTAAACTCAAAAAATTAAATTTTTGTCAAAAATGAATTACGGTTTGAATTTATATGTTTCTAGTAGTTATTTTTTAGTGAAGATTTAAAAAAAATTTTGAACATAACCCATAGGATTAACCTATTTTTAGGACTATGCCGATCTACAAACTTCACCGATCCGATATTTTCCGATATTATTAAAAACCCCGATCAGAAAACCGATCCGATGATTTTCATTTACCATTTATCTTTGAACAAATGTTATAAATGAAATGAATATCGATTGTTTTTATCGATTTTCGGAAATTTTTTATTTTTTTTAAGAAATTAATTTTTTAGGAATATCAATTTTATTCATCGATTTCTCGGAATTGTGGCGATTTTCTTTGGATAGAAGATATAAAAATTTAAGTGAATAACAATAAAATTATTAATATTTTCTATTTTAAATAAAAAAAACCAACTAACTTTCACGAATGATTAAGTGTATTTTGTTGTTTTGTTCTTCAAAGGTTAATATTCACTTTGAAAATATTTATAATGTTTAAGGGCCAATGTAGTGATTTTAAACAGCTACATTAACCTATTTTTTAAAAGGGCTTAATCAAAATTTTAGCCACTAAAAATTTGGCCAATAGAAATTCAAACCTTTCTGTTATCTGTGGACAAAATCAATAAGCTTAAGTAATTTACTTTTGGCCAAAATTTTGAGATAACCATTTTTAAAAATTGGTTCATTGAACATTTAAACAACACTAGATGAATATGACTTTATTTTAAAATCCTTTTCTTGTTGCCGATTATAACAAAAAATGGTATATTTATAGCTATTTTTTTAAATATTTCAACAAATAATGTATGTTAGTTCCTTTCATTAATTTATCATTATGAAATTATTTATATAAAAAAATATTTATATAATTATATACAATCATATAATAACCAAAAAACAATAAAAATCTGATTGTTTTTGAAAAATATCGGCCCGATCCAATTTTATGAAAACTAAATATCGGTGCAGACCCGATATTTAATATCGGCACAGCCCTAATTATTTTCTTCTTCTTTATACATTAAATTAATTAAACTAAGAATTAACTCTAACCATGTATTATAGGCTAAAGCCATAGATCATTCTAGCTTTTGAGGAATTGAGCCTTTGGTAGTCATTAAAATGAAAACTTAATATCTAAGTATTAGTTATATATTAAACAGGGTAATTTTGAATATATTTATTTTATATATACCTATTACTTTAAATTATGTTAATGATTCTGAATTAATACAATTACAGACGATGAAATTTTTAATGCGCATAACTATATTTTTCAACTATTTTTTGATTGCTATCTTTTGTCATTATGCGCTCGAACGCTTTGGTAAGACCTTTAACCCTAGACCACGTTAGACATTATCTAATAATTTTCTAAGTTAAATCAAGCAATTTAAATGTTCAAAATGGAGAGATAAACCAAGTTTTTTTTAAAATAATAATTCTAACGACCTATTATGCAGTGTTTAAACGCTACTTTTAAAAGTAGCGCGCTATCGCTACCGCTATCGTTTTCAAATGAGTAGCGCGCTATTAGCTAATTTTTACGCTACTTTGATTTTTTTTTAAATATTTTTTTTTACGTAACTTTATTTCCACAAATAAAATATTGATATAAAAACATGACTATAATTTGTTACATATATATATAATTTATTTATTATTGCACTTTAATAATAATAACATTTCGGTACTGTCATCCTCAAGTCTAGAGCGACGATTAGAAAGTATAAGCTTTGCCATATTAAATAATCGTTCAGCACTAGCACTTGAGGGCAACGCAGTATTAAATTTAATAAACAAACTTTTTATATGAAAAAAATCATCAAAAATATTTAAATTAGTATTTTTAGATTTAAAAAAAGCATTTAGAGGTTAATTAAAAATACTTCAGTATATTCTTTAATAAAGGTATGCTCCACATTAAAATACTGTATTCCCATTTGATCCAATATATAATTCATTTCCATTTTTTTCTCATCTAGAAACAATGCTAAAAGTTTCATAGCATTGTAAACACTATTCCATCTTGTAGTGTTTGGTGTCAATAAATAACGTCCTAATTTTTTTTTGAAAATATCAGACGTCTTTGATGACTTATTTTGTTTATTCCAAAGAGCTTGGCATTTAGAAAATGTATCTTGATACTCTTTTAAAATCCTCATTTAATAATGCTTCTTCCGCATCCACTGTCGCAACTAAATTTAGGTAGGTTGTGGCAGGAAGAACGATGATGGCTAGGTAACGTAGAAGACTTTATTGAAGATCCTAAATATTATAAATTTTATTTTATATTGGTGAAAAATTAAATATAAAATAATTTAAAACCAAGGATGTCATGAACATCAATTATCTCAAACTCCATTTCATCATCCTCTTCTTGTTCTCCATCTTCAATATTTTTTTCAGGAATATTATTAGTATTGTTATTATTATTATCCTCCCCATATATTCCATATTATTTATATCATATTATAAAAAAATTATAATAAATTTAAAACCTGAAGGCCTTTAGAAAATTAGACCCATTATCCGTAATCATCTTACAAACCTTGTTTTGAATTTTGTAAGACCTATGGATTTCTGCAATAATATTGGCTAGAATGTCATAAGTCTGACAGCCAATTATTCTCTTTAGAGCTTACAGATTTTCGTTTAAGATTTTAAGGATCAATTCAATGTGCAGAGCTCTAAAAATATGACATATTATAAATCAGAAAATAAACATTTTTACCTTTTATTGTGAGTCCAGCAATCTGCTATTGTACAGACGTAGGAGACATCTGATAGATTTAATATCAAAGATTCTTTCATTTCCTTAAAGCTCTCCAAAATTCTTGCCATCAATGTCTGCCGGCAAAATATCTTGGTCCGTGGAGAAAAAGTGTTTGTCATCTTTATAAAAGAATCATTATCCACCAAGGATAATGGTTGAACTGTATCTATTATAAAGTTTATAATGACTTTGTCAGCCAATTTTTGGGATACACCAGGTGTTGATGAATCCAAATTGGTTAATTTTGTTTGTATTAAATTTGATTTGGAAGTGGGTTTATCTTCTTCCATTACCCCAAAATTTTTGAGATATTTTTCAATCTCTTAATAATTTGAAGTGTGCACAGTCTAAAATTATAAAATACTTAGAATAAAAATTATGTAGGATATAAGTACATAAAAATGATTGAAATAACTATTTTAAAATGTTTTAAATAATTTAGATAAAATTAATGAATATATAAAAAAAATAATTGGTTTTTGATTTTAATTTATTTTAAAAATTAAAGATTAGCCTACACATTGATATTAAATTTGTTTAATATATTACCTTTAAATGTTTTTTCAAACTAAAGCTGCTCGTATGATTTGAAGAGATAATTTTGCGGCACATCTTGCACCGAAACCGATATCCAGTTATAATTTTTTCTTCAAGGTTAAAGTATTTCTTGAATTTTGGGAAAGGATCATCTATATTTTGCTCATTTTCCAAAGAAATTTCAATATCTTCAACAATCTCACACATAACAAGATTTATAATGCTTAATATAAAATGTAAAATGAAATATAAAATAAGATAAAAGCAAGGACATACCAATAACGGAATTTCAAAAATATATAATTTAATGAATGCGCGAAATATAAATTAAATACAGATTGCTATTTAACAACTGTTTATATCTTATAACAATAATGTATATTTTTAAATATAAAAAATTTCAAAATTAAATTAAATAAAAGGATAATTTTAGATTTTATAAAAAATATATTTTAATAATTTTTAGATGTATTTATTATGTAAAATTGAAAGTAGCGAAGTAGCGAGCTACCGCTATCGCTATTTTTTTTAAAAAGTAGCTCGCTATTTTAACAACACTGCTATTATGCCCCATTTACCTGATTGATGAACCGATTTTTGAATATTTGTCTCATAATAATCACTTTAATAATTTACTATTAAAAATTATTGACTCAAATGTATTCTATTATCTAGGGTCCTTTCTTTATTGGAGATTCTGTTGTTGGAAGCCTAAACATTTCCAAACTGATTCTAGAAATGGCGGATTCCAAAAATAACATAGAAAAGGTAATAATTTATAATTATACATTGCCGCCTAATTTGAGATGATTAAATTCTGATATCATGATCTCGTAAATTTTGGTAACTTATTACCCAACGATTTACAATTAATTATGAAAAGAACATTTCTTGAGATAGGTGGAAAACTTATCTGATCCAACCATAAAATTTGCAATGGCTAAAACTAGACCAGTTTATCATTTAAATTTGATCCCTTGAGGTCGATTTATGAATGATATAATATTAATCTTTATAAATAAAAATTCAAATTATCTATATACTAGTTAACAGCTTTGGATGCGCTAATATTAACGGCTTCTAATAGAAAGAGGTGTCAAGGGATATTGGTTAACGGGGTACCTTTACTTAAAAAGCTTTATCTTTCGAAAAATGATGAGGTCAGGATCAGGGCATTACTGGTAATCAAAAAAGAAATAAGTGTTATTATATATAGCATATTGATATTAAAATTTATCGAAATGAATTATATACCTATACCCTATGTATCCCTTTATAAATCGGATATTGGTAGAATGACCCAGCAATCATAAATTATTTTATTATTACTAATAATTCATAGAAAACGAAAACTAGTAATTTTAAAAAAGTTATGGATAGGTGTGAAATTTTATTCGGATAATGACTGAAAAGGATATGATATTAGTGGCATAATTTTACTTCCAAATTTCCACATCACGAGATAGTATTTGCCCTAAAGTTATTTTATTATTAGAATTAATTAATAGGATATTTTCTTGGCTAATTTTTTTTAATAAAAAAACTTTATTTTCTAAGATTGAACTAAAAGCAGGATACACTAAATCTTTTTAGGATTATCTAATCAGTCTGGCCTACCTTTCTACATCAGTTCCAAAGATTTTTGAAACTATTCATCTAAATCACGTAATGACTTTGCAAATCTAATTTTCATTTATATAGGTTTTTTAAACCGAAATTTTGAATAGTAATATGTAGACAATTTAATAAATTTGATCGGCCACAAACATTCACTTCTCTTATTTCCAATTTTCTATTGAAACCGTATACAAAAACATCCCAAATGACTTAGAATAGCCAAATTTTAAATGGACATGAATCGATAATGATTAAATTTTAGTAAAGATGATATAATCTTTAAACTTACAGGGTATGGTAATGATAAATAAATGGCCTAAATATTAAATGAATTGTCTAACAATTAACTAGCATCTGAATACAATGGCCGCAAATTAAAAAAAATAATATAAATTCTGAAATCTCACTCGAATAACTAAAATTTCCACGTATCTAATCTGAATATATGATAATGAATATAAAATGTAATGCACTGAACCCGTTTTGAATTCGGGTTCTATAATAATTAGGTCTTGGTTTTCACAAGGGATTTTGTTCATTAGAAAATTCCTGAAAAACAGGATCATAATTAAAATTTGTTATTTTTATTTTATCCTTTAAATATTTATAGAACATTTTATAAATTTTAATAAAATAAATGTTATATATGGATTTAAAATGTTACCTCTTCATATCTTATTTTATTTAAAATGCTAAAAATTAATTTAGGAATAAATGCCCAATCTGAATATTTGTAAAAATCTCAATTTTAGGGAAATTTGAAAATTTATTTAAAACAATTTAGAAAATATTATTTTTTAAAAATAATTTCAAGGGCATTTGTAAACTGGGTGCCTCGGGTGGCATTGACGCAAGCTTAGCACCTTTTGAGGAGAATTCAAACAGAAAAATAGCAGAGGCCTGCAAATCGTAACATTTTTTCTAAAACTTACATTACGTTATTTCCTAAATTATTTATATAATTATAAGTTATTTATAGCTACACAAATAGAATACTACTTTAATTGTTACTTAAGAGGTATTTCTTATTTAATAGTAACGGGTATCTCATTATTTAATGAAAACTCATTACAAATAATAGTTGCCGCGCAATATTATTCGTTACTTTCATATATTAACGCCTTATCGTTACTTTTAAAAATATCAAATTCTTTAATTCTAAAATAAACAAATTTAAAAAAAAAGATTTTTGTGCCACCCCGAAGATAAAAGTTTGGATATCAGAAGATACGCTGCCGAAGCAATTTCATATCTCTCGTTCAACGCGGATATAAAGGAATACATCGTCAACGATAACGATATTCTTAATGCCCTGTATAAACTGGCGAAAGAAGAGGTTTATTAGATTAGATGTAATATTATAGACAGGTAATTTTTTGCAAGTTGAAAAGTAAATATTTAGTATTTAGTATGCTACAATTGTTAGAAATTTGATCGATTTTATGTTATTTATAATGTCATTTTTTTATACTTAGTTTAATTAAGGGTAACAAATTATATTTTAATATTAGTAAAATATTTAAAGCATCGGTTTAGTTAATATCGGATCAATTATACATCACTAGTATCATTTAATAAATAAAAGAAATGTATGAAATTTATATTATTAATTACCCTTCCTTAAGATATCACATTGCTTGTTTTTCCAATTGGTAGGTGTCTTTTAATTATTGATTCGTTATTGGATATTGTTTTACAAAACCTTTATAATAATATAAACATCTAGAACCTTCATCGTCAAATATTCTATAAAATCTCTTCCCTCTTAAAACCTAGCTAATTTTCCTCCCCTTTCCCGTTTTTGCTAACTTAATACTGACCTCTTTCTTAAAGGTTGTAACTTTCTCTCGCCTGCTCTTTCTCCATATTATTTCATTTCTAACTACTCTTTTTGATTCCCTTTTGGAGAATGCGAAAGAAACGTGGCTTGCAGAGATTTCCTCAAACACTCAATTTCCAACTCACCTCTGTCTAGAATATTTTTCTAGTTTGTTTTTCCTTTTCTCAAAAATACTCCCCATATCCATCTGAGGATTCTTTAACTTGGCTTCGTGATTCTACTTAGTTGCTCATGTTTCACTGCAGAACCTCATACAACTTCTCACATAGCTTGCACAAACCTTCTCCTTTAAAACTAGTGAGACATTTTTATTGGTTAAAATGAAGACATCTCTAAGTGCTTCGCCTAGGTAACAGAACTTCCCTACTCTTTTCAAATTTATTTATAAAAACCAGTCATATTACAATTATCTTGCGCCCCTCTCATACACTTTCTTCAAACAAACATTGCGCTTGCCTTCTCCGTGTTTCCTTTTATACCACACTGAACCCATTTACGATACAATAGATGGAGTTCTAGCAACACTTTTCCCCATAGTCTCGTGCCTGTTTCCTCGATTTTTTCTAAACTCATCACCCTCATTTTTTTAATATATTCATTTTTATTCCCTTTTCTTCCACAACCCTTCTTCATCTAACTATTTTTTCCTTCAATTCAATCTTACTTTTCGCTTGAATAAATAATCAACCTTAATTTCGTTTTACCTTAATATCCGCGATCATAATTAAGCAATAAGCATTAAACAAATTGTTAATTTGGGTAACAACTTGCTTAGATCTCTTTATACACACCACACTATTCTTCTATTGGATATGGTAAAATGCCCCAAAAACTAATCTTTTTTTCCAATTTTATTTTTACTCTATTATAATCAGTATAATAGTTAACATATCTCCCGAAGTTGGGAAATAATGAATTCTCATTCTGTCATCATTAATGTGCAGCTCCACTTTTAAAAATAAAACCATTTAAGTCAATTTAAATCATTTCCTCGAAAAAAATGAATATTAAAAAAAGCTAATTTTTTTTGAATTATTGCAATTTTAAATAATATTTGATAAATAGAAAATGTGCTTTTATCAACAAGCATTATATAGTGTAATCTTGTTTCGAATGGTAAAGGAAAGGGCTATTTTTTTATCTTCTAATTTTATATAAACTTTTCAATAAATTTGTTTATTATTTTTACGTATAATGGAATAGACATCAGTCGATGCACACATATTTCCTTTCATAAATTTATTCGTCAATCTGACTAATAGCTATGAAAAGCCAACGATCGAACCAGAGCTGATAGAGCTAGCCAAGCAAGCCAAACAACACGTACCTAAGGATTCCCCTAAAGTAGCTTCATTTATGATAGCATCATTTTCATATTACATTTATAACGATAATATACCTACTAAGTGGTTTGCAAGTGGCAAAATTTTCAGGGCCAGCCGGGTGGGCATTTAGTTTTTGCCTGGCCCACCTGGTTCAATTTTAATTAAGATTGCCTGGCTCGGGTTCATTTTTTACTAAGAAACCTGGTCTGGCCCAGTTTTTTAAAATCCGCACGGGTTTTTAAATACAAGTTCTAACCTGAAATATTTGTTGAATACCAAAATAAACAATTATTTACAATATTGAGGAGCCTTTAAATTAAAACTTTTGTGGATTATCACTTCTATCAAATATTAGAATTTACCAATAAGTCTAAACTTACTAAATGTGTCCTATTTCTGACAATATTAATTTGACATTGTTTGAGAATAAATTAAAATTTTAATAAAACATAATAATTTGCCATCAAGCCAATAAAATTATTATCGTAACAAAATTAGACTTTAAATATTTTTTTATATCCTCTTATCTCTATTAAGCGAGCCGGGCACCTCTTCATTTTTCCCGGCTTTGCCTATTAATTTTTTTGCCCATTCCGACTCAATAAATTTTCAGGTAAATGGCCTAGGCCGTTATTGCAGACCACTGATACCTTCTTCATTTTGAATTCTAATTTTTTAGTGTTACCTTCATGTTTTTTTTCTCTTTAGCTTTCACCTTTTCTGGTGGTAAGCTCCTTCAACATCTCTCTCCACTTTATGTTATTCGTACAATCTCTTTTATCTAATTTATACTTCTTTATATTGGCTCTAACTTTATGGACCCATTGAAGTTTTGGCCTTCCTCTTTTACGTTTGCCCATCACTTCCAAACTCTCAACCTTATTTCCTATGTAGCTCATAGGCCTTTTCATTGTGTGCCCATACCACATAAGTCTGTATACCATTAACTTAGTCTTAATGGGCACTACCTTTAAACTACTTAGTATTCTTGTACTGCGCACTTTATCCTTTCTTGTTACCCCAGCAATCATCCTCAGCATTCTCATCTCCATAGTTTGTAGACTTCTCTCGTCTGATTCCTTGGTTGGCTATGTTTCTGAACTATATAGAATAGTTGGTTGTACTATGGAACTGTAAATTTTTCCCTTTAATTTTTGTGGGATTCTTTTGTCAAATAGCTCCAGATAAAGATCTCCACTTTAACAACCCTTGATTAATTTTACTCTTTATCTCTTTTTCTATTCATGTATTGAAGATAATTCTGATGGAGTATAAATTATATCAAAAATACTCACTGAAACAAATTTTGTGTTCGTTAAATATCCTGTTTTTTTAAATCAACAATGAAGGATAATAAAATTAAAATTATTCGTAAATTTTTTAATAATTCTTAAATATTCTTATTGCTTGAATGATAGATTATGCCACATTATCAATAATCTGAGAGTTTTTTGTTGATAGTGACTGGATAAATCAAATACAAAATCAAAATATATCTAAATTATAAGAAAATGAGGTCAGAACAAGGCAAAAATTAGACAATAATTATATTATGAAAGCTTATAAATATTTAGTTATTTAATTTTTTTAAACAGAGTTTCATCAATTATAAAATAGAAAAAATTAAATTTTTATAATTTATTAACTATTTGAATTTTATTAGTAATTTTTTATAATCTATCCCTAAAAGGTTAAATTTTTTTTTTTGAATTGAATACAAATATTTCAGTATTCTGAATAGAAGATTGAAAAAAAATTTGGTTATTACAATTTTTTAGCTTAGTTTGTTCTATATATTAGTAGATTAGATTTTAGACGAATTAATTAACTTATTTTCTAACGTAAATAATATTCAATATAAAGATACCAATTATGTGCCGAAATATTTTAAATTTGTTCTATATCAACAAAGATTGCCATTTTTTGAAAATAGGAATGTTTCTCGGATCATAAAGCTTGTCAGTTACTGTTTAATTTAACCAGAGTTTGAAAAAAAAATTTTGAGCAAAAATTTTGATTTTTTTTTTAAAATTAGTGATTTGATCTTGAAAGATTATTACAAAAGATTATGGAATTTTTATGTAAAATTTAATCTAAAATCTATCTAAAAAATATTTTAAAGATTTTTTTTCAAACTCTGAATTTAATTAACATTTCATTTTATTCATAAGGATTCTGAGGAATACGTGGTGAAAAGAGTAGATAAGCTCATTACTTCTGGCATCGTGTCCGCTCTCATTCCCTTGTGTAAAACGGAAAGCTCCGCAAATAGAGAAGCTCTTTCTAGGTTTTTTTATAATATAAAACCGCAAGACATGAAAAAAATATCAATTTATAATTTTAAAAAAACTTTTAAGAATTATAACAGCTATAAACAGCTTTATTTTAATGGAATTAGGAAACATATCACAAAGGATAATCTCTTCTTTCAGTTGCTTATTTATTGACCCCCTCCCCCCACGAAATAATTCATTTATTTATAAATGGAATAAGATATGTTATTTGAAGCATAAAACTTATAATCAAAAGTTAAAAAAAACAACGATTATATTTTGTTATACATTATTCCTATATAATATGATTTTTATTTTAATTAAAAAAAACATTTATTAAAATTTGTCCTCAAAATTATGCATACTGGTTATCAGTGATTTAACCAAGACTTCCTACCATTTTTTCACCGAAATAAAATCCTAGATGCCACTACTTATTATAATGTTACGCATTAAATTTAAATATTTAGCACATTTGATACATATTTATTTATTTTCTATTTATTACAAAATATGATAAAAATATAAAAAAGTTAGTAAAGAAACTGTTTTATACTGGCGCTGTTAAAATTTTCAGAAAAAAACGAATTCATTCGCGTTCATCGTTTAATGGCAAAAATCGAATACGTTCACTTTCTAAATTGATTTTCAAAAAAAGAATACATTCAAACTCTTGAATGTCTTATATCAAAATTTAGTGCTGTAAACGTTACTTGAAAAAATATACGCGTTAGTCGTTACCTTGTAAAAAAGGAACGCGCGTTACTCGCTATACAAAAAAATAACACGTTACTTAAAAAAATACTAAATATTCATATCAATTTTCTTTTTATTATTTTTTTCTCCATAGATAATAAAAATAAAATTATACAAGATTAATAAGATCTTTTTGTAATAATTTTTAATTTATTTTCAAAATTTTGATCAAATAAACAAGAGCGCTTAGTGCTCAACATAGTTTGCTAAACATCTGTTCAACTGGTTCAGAGAATGGGATGATTGTATTATATTTTTTATAAATAAAAATTTTAATTGGAGAATTTTTTAAAAATATTTAAAGAATGGCCTTTATTTTCAAAAAAACTTATTAGGTCATTTTCACAAAATCTTTTAATCTGGTATGTGTTTTGTAAGTTAAACAAAATATTATATATTTAAAATAATAATATGAATCATATTTTTACCTTCATATGTTTTTTTAGATTTGAGCAGCTGGACATCGAGATTGAAATATTTGTTTAAGGCACAATCTACTTATACAAAGTGTAGAATTAGTCTTCTATCATTTTCATCTGAAGAAATAAGTACTATTGACATATATTCTTTATAAAATAGAGAATATAAATTAACACATCTTGATTGATCAATATTAATTATATTAACAATCTCGTGGACTTTATAAAATTTAATAACAAAAATGTTAAATAAAATGAAAATGAAGAACCTTGGTGGTTGGTTCTAAATTAACCAGGCTTAAATTATTTTTAAAATTGGGGAAAAATATAATAAAATAAAAAAATATTTTTTCCATATTTTGTAAGAAAAAATTTAAAGTAACGTTTTGCGTTACCATTTCACAAAAAAAGGGAACTCTTTATTTTTCGAAACAAGTGACGAATGACTTTTCTTTTCCTTAAAAAAGTAACAACGTTAATTTCATGACGTTATCAGTACTACTAAATAACATTTAATATTTAGCATAAATTTATCCATAATGTAATAACACCATGTTATTGGTTTTAAAATTTTTATTTTATAATGTATAATGTGTAAAAATATAAAATAATAAAATAAGATTTAAAACATAATATTTGTTAATTATCATTTTTTCAATTAATTTTATATTCAAAATTTTTATCCGATAAGCAAATACGTTTTGTAGTTAACTCGGAATTTTCTACTCTAAAAACGCATTTAGTTAGAGTTGAGGATATTGCAGTGTTCTATTTGATGAATTAAGGTTTTTTTTCTGAAAATTTATTGATAATATTTAATTTCAAAAAATTTTGATAGAAAATTATCCATTAATTCTTCGTGTGTTCTGAAGCTTCTTAATTTTTAGGTTTTCTACGAGCTTCTTTGAACATAATACTAGTTTATTTTTAATTATTTTATTCTGTGAAAGCCTTTTCCATAGTTTAAATTCGTGATGTGTTATGGAGGAAAAATATATTGATTTTCATGTATATGTCCTATTAGAATATGAAATCCATCGGGATTTTGAATATCTCAATTTTAATAATAAGGTCTTTTAAAATTTGAAAAATCGACTTGACTAGAAATATATTCCTGCATGTTTTCCCACACAGTGATATACAGATAATTTTTGCCTTAAATCTTTGTTTATTTTTAGTTTATTTGAAAAATTTAAAAGTTCTTCATAAAATTGTTTAAAATTCACAATGTGGGTACTCGAATACATGATGGAATATATTTTCGGTCAAATCAGATTTTTCAAATTTAAAAATCTACCCCGTTTATTTTGTTACACAATTTTAATTTTATTATCAAGTTTTTATCAAATAAAATTGTCACATATTTATTTAAAAAAATATATTTACAATCTTTTATATATTTTGTCAAGGGTATTTTTGGCTTGTTCGGGAGATCCGAAGCACAGAGGAATCTTGATTCAACAAGGAGGTGCTAAGGTTATATAACTCTTTTTAAAAAAAAATATGAATTAGTAAGCGGAAAATACTGTAACTTCTCGTTACAATCGAATCTTTAATTATATGACATTGTTCTATCTCCTGATACAACTTGCGCAATTTGGTTAAAATTTCAATCCCCATATTAAATAAATAAGGCAATTATTCTCACCTACTACTTCCTTTAATAAATTTCGTTCAATTTCAAGGAAATATTTATTTAATTTTCTTTCATCAGGCCCTACTTTCCTTAACGCTCAGTGATAACACCGACGAAGGCAAGATTATAGCGGCACATGCACTAGCAAAAATATTTGTCACTAATAACCCAGAACTCTCTTTCCCTGGAGATAAAGTACTTAAAAAAATATAAACCTTTACAATTTTCTCAACAGTATGACAAATCGCTAAAAGGAGCTAACTTAATTTACATAGTTTTTTTCTGAACCAGTGTAAACACTTTTTGTTTTATACATATATTGTACTTTAAGACCATACATTTGATAAGTAACACTTTACCCGTTGAGTTTTTATTATTAAAGAAAAGAAATATCGAAATTTTATATTTTAATTTGCTGTTGATGCTACTTGCTGGTACAAATTATGATTAATTATTTTTTTTTCACTATTATTTAATAATTTAGCTCGCCTTTGAATCAAATAAGTAGAAAAACTACAAAATATTTATAGTTCAAGCTAAGCGGAGTTTATTTGAAAATAAAAATATTTTAGAGCAAGTGGGATTTGAATATAAATCTCTTTTATGTATTTTTATTTGTAATAAATATTTAATATTACGCAATCAAGATTTCATTAACGGGTGCCCAAACCTTTATGCCATCTATGAGCAAAATATCTGAGCTTGCATAATATTTTTTTTGGCTAGTTAGCCATTTTTAAAAATCGAACCGTTTAAATATTATATTTATGATTATTAGAAATATACCAATTTTTGAATATAATCCCAAATTAGCGATCGCTTTTATATATTTTATTGGTTTATTTGATTCCCTGTAAACATTTTTTATATAATTTTGTCATAAAAATCTTACCGGATCGACCCTAAAAATCTCTTTAACTATTAAATTATATATAATATACTAATTAAATTAAACTTTTTATACATTATAACACCATTCCATTCTCGTTTCATAATTTTTCCCAAGCTCTGTTTCCTATATATGTATGAAATATTACAAACCTTTATTAATTATATTTTAAAAATCAAATTGGATAATCCTTTTTAATTATGATTCATAATGCGATATCGACTAAAAAGTAATTTTCTGATAGATGGATTAATGTTTCAGAATAGCCAGCATCGAGCCAATTTTCGAAACTTTATGATATGAGGAATTATTGAGAAATTTCACGAACTTGTCTGAGAGAATCATAGTTATTGTTGATGGGGATGCAACCTGATTAAATAAAGATACGCTTAAATTACGGAACAAAAAATTATGAACAATTCAATTTTGTTGAAAATATTTACAATAATTTAAATTTTCATAAAAATTTAATAAGTAAAAACAATTAAATATTTTTATTGAAATTTTAAAATACTTATAAATAAAACATTCGAATATATTTTATGCGAAATTGGATATTATACACTCTTCAAGATTGCTTTTTATCAAAGAATTTGACAAACCCTAAAAATCGCAAACTAGTAAGATCTTAAACATATAAAGTAGTTAAATTATTATTTTGAATATAATGGGCTAGATCACATGAACTAATTTATAATTTCTTGAACCATGTTTGGTTAAAAATGAATTATTAACTTAAAATTCACTTGAAAATATATGTATATCATATAAAAAATAGTATTTAGATTTGGTGAGACCGTTGCTAATACTACTTCACGTTGAAAGAACAAATTTGCAAAATTTTGAAGCACTCATGGCTCTCACTAATATCTCTAGTATAAGTCAAACTGCCAAGTATATAACTATACTACGAAATACTTTATTTTTGTGTTACAACTTTATACACTTTTATGGTAAAAAGATATCTAATGTGCTAGGGCACCAGTTTAGACAGTTCGAAAAAGCTTGCGGATTGGTGATGCTCGATTTTTGAAACATAACTGGACCAATAAATTATTAATGATCCGGTTCCTAGATACAGTCATAATTAATTCATTCGTTGTGGCACTCTCTTTGAAGCTTATGAACGATAAATCTTATTTGAGGAAGGGTCTATTTAAATTAAGACGATTAAATTTGAATACAGTAGTAGGAATTATTCGTAGAACCATCAAATGTATTTCATATCTTCAGATACATTATTTTAATGTGAGCTTAGAGTCATAACATTATCTATTAAAACATTTTTATGGCAGTAAGAAAATTTTAAGCCAAGGTTTGTTATGGCACTATAATAATTTTTATTCTTCTTCTCCGTTTAATGGGGATTTCCAGGTTTACCCAGGTAAATCAGTTTCCCTTCTGATTTTACTCCCCAATTTTTGTCAGTCCAGAACATCATTATTTGTGAGACTCTTTTTTCTAATATCCTCCGTTATCTTGGGCCTTCCTCGAGTTCTTGATTCTCTTACTTCCATCGAGATGTATCTCTTAACCCAGTCATTCTTTGTCTTTAAGTTCCACTTGCCCCATTTCAGTCTATTATTTCTCATTACTAATCCAATCGCTTCTATTCCCATCCTTGCTTGCAATCCCTTGCTAGTTTTTCTCTCTTTCAGAGATACCCCACACATCCATCTAACCATTCTCATTTCCGTTCTTTCTAATTTAGATTTTTGAGCCACTTTTATTGCCCATGTTTCATCGCCATAAACTTACAACTTCTCACATAGTTTACCTAAACTTTTCCTTGCAATTTCGAGAGAAGATTTTATTTACTGGAATATACGACATATCTGTGTCTTTTTAATATTTAAAATTTACATATTCATTTTTATGACTTTCTAGAAAACGCATATTACTAGAGAACGGTATGTCTGATATAGTTAATTACTTGTACGACGATAATCCGCCTTTACGACGAGCGGCTACAGAATGCTTATGCAATCTTATGCTATCTCCAGAAGTATATATTTAAAATAATGTTTCTTTTACATTTTTATTTGGATTTTTTTCCAAGTTATTAAGCATTTTGCTTTATACCAATAAACGCTTTCTTATTTATATTTTTGAAAAAAGTTGTACCTTTTAAGCATCAATATCGGATCGGCACTGTTAGAGTTTTTTTTTAAATTGGATCAGCCAATGTCTTTTTTAAAATAGAGCTAATACCAATTATATTTTTTATAAACATTTTATTAAAACCTTTCCTTATAACTAATTTTTTTTAATATTCATCTTATCTTCTTAATTCCTAATAATAGGAAATTTATATATATATTTTTTTAATAAACTAAAATTAAAGTTTACAGATAAATTTTGCGAAATAGGCGACGATAGGGTTAAAATGGTTGCCCTAGTTATATCCGACACGGAAGATTTAAAATTACAATTGGCGGCTGCTGGTACCCTATGTTCTTTGGTTAGCAACGATAATGCTTTACGGAAAATTTTGGAGGTTTTACGTATTTTTTTTAAAATTAAAATTTATAATTTCACATAATATTTTTTTATTATTTCATTATCACTTTATTTCCTATATATCATCCTTTTTAAAATATAATTATTATGGAAAAATTAAAAATAAGTAATACTAAAAATTATTTTTGGAATATCTATGAATTCTCGGAACAATTAAAATGAAAAACATTAAAAATATAAAAATTATTGATATAACGTTCCTCCTTTTTGGATAGGATTGGTCAGCTATTTGATCTATATGCCTCTTTTTTGCTCCATGAAAAGTGTTGGCTTTATGCATTACCTTCCCAATTCTTTTCCTATTATCACTTTAATCCATTCATTTATGTTGAGAATTCTTTCTGTCACGGATAGTTTTTGAAGTATAGGCAATCGGTCTTTCAATTTTGTAAAATAATACCGCTTATGTCATGTAACGAAGCATCGCATGCCACGTGTAGTGGTTTATCTATATCATATAAAGTCGTTATTGGAGGCATATTAATTTTTTCTTGAATAGATTGAAACTTAAGTCATCATTCGTTGAAAGACTTTATCAAGATTTTCGAAGTGTTCCGTTCATTTTTAAAAATGTCATCCTTTAAAATACGCAAGCTATTGTTATATCGAAAGGCATTCTTTTCATTTCATAAATCCCCAATGATTATTTATTGTCCTTTATTATTGTTAGTTGATTATGAGCATTAGAGAAATCGATGGTCGAAAATATTTTTTAGTTTTTGAAACACTACTAGTTGTCACATTAGATTCCATTATAAATTGAATAAGAACAAATAATTAACAAGTATTGTTCAAATAAAAATCATCATGGTAACTTTCCAATATATCCCCCCCCCCTCTCTTTAGGAAATTATTTATTTATAGCTTCAAAGTCTACTACATTCGTTTTCTGGTTTTATATTGTGAGCTGGATTATTCCTAATTTCTTTGATTTGCTTTATAACGGCAAAATTAAATCTCATCCGTACCTTGATTCACCAAAGATAATTTATAATACACTATTCCTTATTTCATTTCTATATCTATTTACCAAGAATGACTTTATTATCTATAAGCGCTGGGAGACCGAAATTTTTGCATATACGCACGACTTCAGAATCATGTCCTAATCTTCGACTAGAGACAAAAAATCCTTAAGATTTCCAGTTTTTTTTAAAGTTTCTATCTTAATATTAATATTTTTTACTCAAGTCTTGTTCTAATCGACCAAGTACATAATATCTCTACTTTCTCCTTTATCATTTTCCTCATCCTAGCATTGCGAGATTTAGTGTTTAGATTATCAGATCGTAGTCCTACTCCTCCCCAGCTAGCATCGCAAGGTTTAAAGTATCAAAATTATGATTTTTTTCTGTACTTCCTTTCCTCAATCAATATTGTAAGGAGTAAGATCTCATGCTCATTTTCTTTGCAATTTTTCCACAATATATTTATTATATAAATAATCATTTACCTCAATCATAAGTCCACTAATATCTAATTGGTAATTAAACTTGAAAATAGCCGTTAAAGTTTCTACCAATATTTTATACGGTAACAGATCGTTAAAATGAAAATAATATATTGTAGGCCTCCTTGGACAAATCTATTATTAAGTGTTCCACTTACATTTTTGTGAATAAACCATGATTCATGCCTAGCTTATGATTTCCACTTATAATTTGAGCACATCAAATCTTGTATCTCCGAAATAGAATCCATCAAATTTTAAATATTTCTTTTTTTTATCACTTTAAATTTTTACTTTAACTTCTTCACAACATATGTTCTTTATATTTTTTTAAAGGCAACTTGACCACCAAATATTATATTATTATTTCTTTATTTTATACAGGGATGAGAACCCGAACCCTCAATATTTCGCTGAACCAAAACCCTTTTTTAAAATTTAGGGTTCAGGGTTCAAGCCTTTTTTTTTAATTTTTAAATTTATTTTTTTTATTCTAAACTTTCATTTTATTTATTTTAAATTATATGTTAAAAATAATATATAATAAAAAACATGTAAATTACGATTTTATTTATAAAAGATTTCCTATTTAAAAAGAGTTCTTATTTAAAACAATTAATTTTTAATCAAAAAAATATTAATATCTAAAAAAAAACATTTTTTGATCATTTTTCGTGTAATTATTTTTGTTATATTTAATAGTCGGTCATTTTTCGTAAAAATTTTGAAAATAGAAATATAATGTTTTTTTTAAAATTGTATTGTAGTATTATATTATATATATGATATATTATAATTATGATAATAGATTATTTTTATGGCGATACTAATTAAATTTTTAAAAAATATGATGTTTCTTATTTTAACTAATTTAATAGGTCATTATTTTTCTCGTATCCGAACCTTGAACCCGGACCGGGTTCAGATATTTTTCACTGAACCCAAACTCGAATCTATTTTTTAAAAGGAGGGTTCTCGTCCCTGATTTTATATTTACAACCCCATTTCAAATTTGTCAAATAATTTACTATTTATTTATGAAATAATTAACTCTGAATCGATTACTTTATATTTTAAAAATCATAGCTGTATATTACATATTAGGCCTATTCAAACATGAATTGAATAATATTCAAATTCGATTCTTGCGATTCGAATAAAACTACTATACGTAATTTTACAAATCAAAAAAGGAATTTTTAATTATTCGATTTTATTTGAAAAAATTTTGTTTTTTAATACCTAATACAAACTAACGTTCTCAAAGGGTTAATTTTTATCTTAATAAATATTAAATAACAGAATATATATATAATTACTATAATTAAAAATTATGTTGATTTTTCAACATATTTCCAAGGTGCAGAAGCGTAGGCGTAAGAATTTCTATATCTCAGCGCTTATAGATGATAACTATTCAGAGAAAATTGCTTTAACATTACGGTTGCGGAACTTTTTTTGTTAAACATAGATATCGAAATGACAGAAAGAAGAAAGTTGTTTCATAAGTCATTCTCATGAATCAAGGTACGGATAATATTTAGTTTAAGAAGATAAAAAACAAATTTAAAAAAAATGCATAATAAATAATCCAGAGGACAGAAAACTAATGCAGTAGACGCTGGAATAAATGTAAATACATGGATACAAAGTCGGAGTTCATAAAAGACGAGACAGAAAAAGAGTATAGTCAACACTTTAGGAAGAAAGGTATAAGTTCAAAAGTATAAAGCTGTATGATTACTTAAAGAATAGAGAATACATAATTAATGGGAGGGGGGAGATATGCTGGGAAGTCAGCATAATGATTTTTATTTTAAGAAAATACCCGTTAATTCTTATTTAATATATATGTGCTATTTATTTAGATAAAAATTTATACTTTACCCGCATTCACAGTTAGTACGAATTAATAGCTGGTTGATCGCAGCCAATTTGCATTCCTGATAATTAAAAATAAATATTTTACATTCATTTAAATAACCATTCATTTCATTGAATAGAAACAATCTTGTGATATTGAAATTACCACCTTATCCAATTAGGAAACGCGATGTTTCAATATCTGCTAAAACATAATGGATTGATACTATAGCCATGATATTGAGAGATCAATATCACAGATCCTCTTTTTAATTTTTTGGTATTAACCTCTTTTTGAAAAATGTATTTCGTAAATTCTTTTATAGAGATTTGTGACAGGAAGCTAGAAAAGTGTATAAATAAAATACATGTAGTATACTTTACCAGGTCCTCTATATTCTATATCTATTTTCTCTCAAATTATTTTATTTTTTAAAACTCTTCTGTATTGTAATACAGACAAGAATATTCTCTAATAGCATTAATCAATTAATGTTTACCTAATTTTATCTATAGGTTTAATAATTTTAATAGTTTCCATTAACTCTTTATTTATTTTCTAAAAATAATATATTATTTTTTTAACCCAATTTTTAAGTTTAATATCTCGGGAAAAGGTTTCCATATTTGAATAATACATCTTCTCCTTTTTAATAAATAAATTTATATTCAAAAATATTATATAAATATAAAATGAAAAATCGTCTGCTTTATTTTACTATAACAAAGAACAAATTATCTATATTTAAATAATAATCCTTTGCCGTTCATTTACCATATCCCTGTATGTAGATCTGTTCTTATATCACGGTGTAATAAACTTATGAAATATGTCCAATATTGCATGAAACATTTAGATATATGTTCAGATGGAAAGAAAAAAAGAGCTTTATTTTTAATGATAATTTTATTGATTTATATTATTTTAATAAATAAAATTGAATTATTGATTATATATTTTGGGTAATAGTTTATAAATAAAAATAAACACTTTTCTCATTTGTATGCTGTTTTTAAATAATAAAATTTTCATATAGGGATATTGTAAATGAAAGGCACCTAGGATTATTATTTAACAATAAAGAAAATTTTTTCTCTGATAGTAAAATAAGGCAAACGATTTTTCATTTTATGTTTACTAAATATTTTTGAATTTAAAACTTCCTTTTGAATTCAGGAATTGTAAACTCTAAGCTGAAATTTGTTAATTTAATTGGCCCGGGTCCTATTACCCTGGGTCCAATGAGTTGCCCATAAATTGGTCTCTGCTTGGTCTGGTATCAAAATGCCCAACGAAACATTTTTAAATGTCTGAACTCGAATTTGGGTCCAGAACCTTGCTTTATTCTAAAGCAGTAGATCTATTATTCAAATATGGAAACCCTTTTTCAAGATATTAAACTTTAAGATCAGGTCAAATGTTTAAAATTATAATATATCATTTTTAGAAAATCTATAAAGAGTTCATGAAATTACAAGAAGAAATTCTTTAACAAAATAGTAGAGAATAAATATACTTGTCTGTATTGCAATCAGAAGAGTTGTATAAGAATTTAAGAATAAAATTTTAGAGAAATAGCTGTAAAAATAGTAGAACTCGTAAAGTATAAATACATGTATTTTATTTATACACCTTTCTAGCTTCCTGTCTCAAATCTCTATAAAAGAATTTACGAAATATATTCAGGAAAAAGAGGTTGAATACCAAAAAATTAAAAGATAGATCTAGTATCTAACAATATCATGGCCATATTATAAATCCATTATATTTATTCATTGGATAAGGATGTTTTATCAATATCATAAGATATATTTCTATTCAATGAAATGGCTGGGTATATAAATGATTGCAAAATATAATTATCAACTGTTGTTCAGCAAAATCACGCTATCTGTAAAGGCTAATTCGCTGAGATCGATGAGCTGTTGATTCGCCGTGAATTCGCGCCAATTCTGAATACAGGGTTATTAAGCCTTTTCTATTTTTTTCTTATCTTTATCTATAATACACATTTAAAGATAAAAATTAAATACTTTAGTTAAGGAAAAAAAATCTGAGAGTTTTAGTTTTTATTCTGCACGAAATAATCAAGCAGAGACCTGCAGAAATACCATTTCCACGGCCCGGCCAGAATTTCTTTTAAAAAAATTTTTTTTAGGCTCGGCCCGGATTTTTTTTAAAAAATTTTTTAGGCCAGGCTCAGAATTTTTTAAAATTATATTCGATCTGATGTATGCAAAAAATTCACTTATTCGGTATTTTATCATAGTTTTCAGCGAGTATTATCATTTAATAAGCAAGCATATTTACATATTTTATCTTTTAATATTCTAAACAGATATTTAGTATATTACAAATTGATACTATAAAAAATTTGTATAAATAATATTTTGAGAATATACTATATGTATTTAAAAATAAAACGGATATTTATAAAAATGGAAGTAGATAATATTTTGAGAAACACTATATTATATTGTATTTATTAAAAAAAAAAATTTTCGTCGATAATGATCTTAAATTTGGACCAAATTTCTGATTTTAAATTAGTTGGTTTAAATGTATATACATTATTTTTAATTTTATTAATTATATCACTGGTATTCATCATTGGTGTGATATTTAATGTTCTTTTTATGATTAATTAATAAAAAATAATTATATTATATAATAATGAGCTACCTTAATTGAACCAATTTATCATTGAATTTTGTTTCAAGTGATTCTTTGAATGTATGAATTATCTATAAGATTATTATTTTTAATTTTATTAATTATATAACTGGTATTCATCATTGGTGTGATATTTGTTGTTTCTATGATTAATTAATTAAAAATATTATATATTATATAATAATTTATTTATTACCTATTTTGATTTGTTTTAATTTTTTGAGCTACCTTAAATTAAACCAATTTATCATTGAATTTTGTTTCATTTGATTCTATGAATGTATGAATAATCAATAAGATTATTATTTTTAATTTTATTAATTATATCACTGATATTCATCACTGGTGTGGTGTGATATTTAATGTTGTTTCTATGATTAATTAATATAAAATATATTATATAATAATGTATTTACCTAATATCCTTTGCGTATTTATTCCATGGCAGGAAAACTATAATTATATTATGCAATAGATGCTATGAATGTTAGATAGTGTTAACTTTCACCCAACATTATAATAATCATAACTATATATAATCATTATAACCAAATCTAACTGACGAATATAATAATTCAGTATAAATTTAAAAAAAAATTTTTAATCTTAGGTCCGGCCCGGTCCGGGTATTTTAAAAAACCTGCAGGTGTAATCAAGTTCATAATTAATATCTTCTCTTTTCATTTAGGAACTATGGGACTAGTCTAGCGTTAAGATTTTAAAGGCTTATAATCCAAACGTTATAAGCGGGTGATGACTTCATATTATACTAAAAATTATAACATAATTTATAATATAATTGCCTCTCGTCATTGCCTTATTATTTTTGTATTTTATTATTAATATAAATGATATGATTTTATATCAGATAAACTCCATAATGGACATTTTAAGAGTCTTACTCTTAAACGAGGATATAGATCTGAAATTCCGGGGAATATTTGTACTCAGGTCTTTGATATACGCTTCTGATAAATTTGCTGAAAAATTTGTTACCGATGATTTGTATTACGCTCTGATCGTTATAGCACGACCTGATACAAGTTTTTAAAATTTTATAAAATATCGATCAGACTATATAACTTATATTGTTTTCTTTTGATAAAATTTCTATCAAGATAAAGAGGATAGCAAAGTAGTTAACCCTCTGGTAAAAGAAGCGCGAGAAATTGCCGAGGAAACGTTAGAAAAATGCAAAGAGTATGGTTTTGTCAAAGATAACCAAAAATGAATGAAACAAAACTTTCAACCTATATTGACAAAATATATTATAAATTTTTATTGTATATTTCCGTGATTTCAAAAAAAAGTGGCAATTAATATTTATTATATTTATTTATTTTTGTCAATAAGTTGTATTTACTTATAAAATTAGATTTTTTCGTGAGCTATATTTAAATATTCCAATTTTTAAATTATATATTAATATTATCTTTTTTACTAGAGAATTTTAAAGCCTAAAATATTTCTTAAATTTTTTAATATAATTTTTGAGAGTTTATTCATCATTATATATTTGCATTTTAACATCCAAAGTTATATAAATATTATTGTTATGGCAGCTTTTAATTAATATTTTTTTTGATTCAATTACCCCAAACTAAGACCATTCCAGAGCGTTCTAGCATATGAGAAATTGAGCGTTTGGTAACTATAAAAAAAATTATATATATACACATATATATATATTTAAAATTAATTATATAGGATAGTTAAATATATTTTATATATACACCTATTACTTTAAAACAAGGAAATTATTCGGAATAAATATTACTAGTAAGCAGACAAAAATTTTAATTCCAAAACACTTAAAATATTCAAATTTTTGTAAGCTATTTCGCAAGGCTTGATTTTGGGGTTACTCTCTTTTAATACAACGCTCTGGTATGGCTTTAGCCTTATAATATTACACGCAACTATCTTTAAAAGGGACACTAACCGAACTACTAAACCAAACCGTGAGAATAGTCTCGCCTATCATTTTTTTTAAAATGTACCCACTGCTCCCCCTACTAAACCAAACCGTGAGAATAGTCTCGCCTATCATTTTTTTTAAAATGTACCCACTGCTCCCCCGTCTTTTTAGCTAAAAAATTTATCAAACCTTCTCTCCCTCACCTAATCTTTAGATAATATTTGATTGGTAGGTTTGGCTATTTTATTCTTAAACTCACAAAATATGCAATATTATCATATAAAACGCCTGCCCATTCTTTTAAGAATATATTTGCTAAAGAACCTGCCTATGGCAGACCTCTACATTATGATATTATTTGTTAGTATTAAATAATATGCATACTCAGGCCCCCTTAAGTAGTTTCGAGAGCCCCCTCCCAATTTTTTGATATGAATTTTTTAATTTTTTCTTATATGCTATTACTTATTTCCTAATTTTGGTTTGGATTACCTTATTTTTCTAATTTAGGTTGGATTTAATTTCTTGCCGCTTTTTTTCTAATTTTTTAAAAAATATAAAAGTTGACGCATATATTACAGTCTAAAACGGCACTAAGAAGATTGCTTATAAAATTGATTTATAAGAATGTATTTTACTCTTAAGTCTTATTGATTTAATCTCAACTACATGATAGAATAATTTGGAGACCGCACTTTGATATCTTTATGCTCACAAAAATATTTTTGCCTTCCAGCCCCCTGTAATTTATAGGTAGCCCCCTCTCAGTTAGATTTGATACATGGTTTTTACAATTTTGTTGAACTATTATTCTACCCTAACCTTTTATACGACCACATTTTCCTAAAACATTTTTGAAATTTATCAAGTCTATTTCGCATCCTACTACCATCTCTCTAATCCTTATGTTCTAATAGGTTGTATTCGTATTTTAAACGGTTTCTACAAAAAATTAAAACAAGTATTGCTTAATTTAATTTTTTTTAACCAGGCGCGTACGCAGCGGTGGGGGACAAATCCCCCCCCCCTCAAGCCAAAAAATGCAAATGCTGGATATTTTTCCCAAAAATATAATTGTTCATATTAATTTATATTTGTTAATATTTATTCCTATCTCATATTAAATAATATTTAATTACATTTATTTATCACATTCATTTACTAAGCTATTTTATCAATAATTTCGATTTCAAGTTTTCTATGGCATAATATTTACCTATTATTTTCAAATTTCAAGTGGCGTAATATTTGCTACCATTTTCAAATTTCTAGTCAAATAATTATTATTTCTGAAACTCCTTGACAAACAGGGAGAAAATTTGCAAGCTTGTCCATCGAGATTTCCGCCATCAAGCAGTAACAGCTTTTACGGAGTAGGAAGAGCAGATTATTAATGCTATTACTGAAATATCACAATGGCCTGAAATAAATATTTCCTCAGAAGCAAAAACATTATTGGATTAAATAATTATTCCAAATTTTTTTTTCTCACTTGAATGTATTATTTAATTATACAACTATTTTATGTAATACTTTTCAAAAACATGACATTGACTTGATTAGGAAGATGAGAATAGCGGAGTGCATTTTATAAGAACTCAGGGAAGTTATGGCTAATGTTGATGAAGAATTTCATATTTTATTTGTTATTGTTGAGTTAAAAGCAAAGTTATACATGTTTAATATTTGTTTCCCTCGACTTGTAGAAAGGAAAGCTCATCGTCAAAACATTAATATAAGATCAGGAGAAGAGTATTATAAAACAAATTTCCCCTCTTAGATACAGTTATAACCCAAATAAATGAATGGTTTTTAATTCATCAGGCAGCACTTCACAATCTGCAGATATTACTTCCAAAAAAGCCTTCCCAATCTTTTTCAGATGGTGATAGAAAAATAATAAAATATATGTTAGACATTTTTATCATAAGATGTTAAAGTATTTTGTGATGCCTTATTAGCTCAATAACTATATTTAAAAGATTAACTATGGTTGATATATTCCCAAAAAATTCTATGGATGCTTTGCATTATTTCAGACATTTTTAGATTATATTCCCAATGTATTAAAATGGTTATATATACATATATTAGCAACTCTTCCCATTAGTAAACTAATTAGAGAACATTCTCTTTTTTAGAGGAATAACAAAGCCCTAGGTACCATTTGCAGGGCACGGTCCGGATTTTTTTTTCAAAATTTTATTCTGCCCAGCCCGCGTTTTTTTTAAAAAAATTTCAGGCCTGTCCCAGGTGTCTTTTTAAAAAAAATGTCATACCCGACCCGGATATATTTAAAAAATGAAGGTTCTGAAAAACATACCTAAGAAGTACAACTTCTGAAAGTAGATTGAATGGTTTGGATCTTTTGAATATTCATAGGAATTCAACGCAAGCAAGGATGAGATAGTTGAAAAATTAGCTCAGTCCCAACGAAGATTGGATTTTACATTGTAATACAAAATACAATTATTCCTAAGAAACATTTTGTGTATTAATTTATATTTCCAACATTTAAATTGATACTTTATATATAAATTTTAAAGGCTCAAAATTCGAATTTCTATTTTGGGTCATTTAAGTGATTCCTAAATATGGTGGTTATATTCACTTAAATATTTTATAATTCACATTTATTTTATAGTTTTTCATATGCATATCCTTTTAATATTTTTTAATTCACATTTATTTTATAGTTTTTTATATGCCGGTTTATATATATAATTTTTTTTATAATTCACATTAATTTAAAATTGTGTATTAGAAATAGTTATTGGTCCTAATAAATTTATGCTTAATATTTTTAAATAACAATAATATTTCTTTAAAAATTTTATTATTCACCCCCCCCCCCTCCCCCACACCAAATTCCTGCGTACGCGCCTGTTTTGAACATAGGGGATTCTGGGGGTAGGCAAATTTTTTTTTTTATTATCGTCTATAACTTCTGTACCCTTTTATATATTGGGAATTCTTAAATATCAATAGATATCTTTTAGTGAGAAATTTATGATCATTCCTTTTAACATTTTTTGTAAAAGAATTATGATTAGTCAAATTATCTTACGGGCATTCAAAAGCATAGATCTCTCGCCTTATAATGGAAATTTCCAAAATTGCCATTTTTTTTTTAAGTTTTATATTTATAGAATAATTTTAATATTTTATTGTTTAAATTATAACTATGAAATACAAAAAAAATTAGCTAAAAAAAATGTATATATACAAATGAAAACATATTTTTAATAATTTTATAAACATTTAAGGATATATTAAATGTTTGGAATATCTTGTGAAATTTAATATAGGTAATTCACAAAATAACCAAAAATAAAATATAAATTTAAAAGAAAATTCTATAATGATACATTAGTGGTTCATAGTAGGCTGGATTTGCAAGCCCCACTAGCACCAGCTTTACTAATCATGATTAAAATAATATATAGACACCATAAATGTTCGCAATACTTTAACTACATTGTTACTAAATTTTCGTTTTAAATTTATTTTTATCAATTTGATAGCTTTTATTTTTCCACTTTACCAACGCATCTTTTTGGGATTTGAATTTCCAAAGGTGCCACAAGTCTATTTAAAATATAAAAGTAACTAAGCAATCTCAGAGATACATCTGTAAGTGTGCATATATATTGTCTATTTATTACTCAGAAAAATATTAAGCATAAGGAAAGAAAAAATTGAGAATTTTGATGATGACCAACAATATTTAAACACTATTTTAACTATGGAGTGCTCATAAAAATGATATTTGGGTATGCAACTGTAAAATCTTCAATCAAAACTTGCTAAAGTGGACCAGGCCGATGGCCTTCCTAAAAAGAGTTTGAGAGGCGAAGCTTTTAAATGTATCACCCCTCCCTCCCCCGCCCCCAATCCTGCTTACTCTAGTGGTCTAGAGACGAGTGGAATAAAATTTTACCCTGAGATTGAAATCCGCTTAAATAAAATATCATTATCAAATGATTATACAAAATAAAGAAAAACATTTTAATTTAAAATATTTATGCCTTTTTTTATTTTGATAATTTTTTTGAGATTAATATATACTATATTTTTTTTCAATTTTTAAGAATTTGATAAATCTTTTTAAATTATGATTTTTCAATAAAAATCTAGATTTGTCGATATTATTTTTAAAATTTATATTTTTTTTTTGGATATATACCTTCAAGGTGTTATTGGGGAAGAATTTTTTTTTTACATTCATTATAAATTTATTATCTTATATAATAATTTTATTTTTAAAAAAAAATGCTGTTTGTAACTTGTATGATAAATAATTCGTAAAAAAAATATATATAATTCAGATTTGGGTTGGCAATAATAATTTGATGTTTTTGTGAAAAACCATTTGAAATGTCAAGGTTAATTTTAAAATTTTTCTTATTTCTATTGGCTCAATTAGAATTCAAGGATATGTATTGGATCTCGTAATGACTGAGATATTCGTATTTGATTCAAACTTTAGTATATAGTTAGTTATAGTTATAACTTATAAGTATTATTTAAACGCGCATCTAGCTATGCAGAGTAGGGTATGGGGAAATCCCCTTCCAAGGCTAAAAAGTTTTAGCTATCAAGCAGTCACTGATTTTATAGTTAGAGAACACTATTATAAGCAC